TCCATTAACGATGCATTTAGAATAAATTGTCTTGTAGTTAAGTGAAAAAATATATACTTTTCCGTTTCATGTTTCATGACTGTCATATTTATCCCTTAACGTTAAACTGAAGCATCGGATATTTTTATTCCCGTCGAATCATATAGATACATGCAATATGAATGGAATATATAACACTTCATTTGTGCTAATAATATTCATAATCAATTAAGTCTATTTAGTTATAATTAATTTAGTCATAATTCAAAAAAGTCTATTCATAATCTCGTCTGCGGTAGTAGCTTGGTAAGAGGGGTCATAGAACCCCCGGAGCATATGTAAGAGACCCGTTGTGGGTGAAAAAGTGGGGTCATAGAACCCCGAATATGCGAAATTAACCCCGTGTGTGTGAGATATTTGTATACATTTATTTATCATGTATACTTATATTGAGTATATCGTATATAGTTTATAGATGCGCTTATGTTTATATGTTTTATGTTTTACATTAAATATTTAAATAAATATATAAAGTATAGTATTGTACTTTATTCACTCTCAACGCAGAAACAACTTGTGTGTTGAGTATCAAGGTTAGGAAAATATAATTCGATACAAGTAGGTATCGATACTTTTGTTTCGATATCGAGTAAGTATCGATACCTTGGTGGTATCTATTCAACTCTAGGCGTAAGCCCTATCGTTTCCTCTCAGAAGTATCTATATAATCTATCACAAATACTTCACACTTCTGTATGATCTTTCCCTCGTTGTTCTTTGTCGAATGAAATTATGGTACGCAATAGTACGCATGTTTAGTCATCTGACGTTCGGTACGTTGCTAAGCAACATGCTCCCTTCGGTTGTCACATGGATGCGATACATTTAATCTCTCGTAATTTAAACGAACGTATTGTTACTGTCATTTAAAAGAGTGATTTCTTTTATTTGCCTATGGCAGCCGTTTCAATTGTTTTGTCGTTTATTAAAAATACAATAAGAAAAACTCTGATCGAGGCCACTGAATCATTTTTAATCGGAGTTACAGTTTAAGTTACATTAACCTAAAGTAACCTTATCTTCTTCTGGCTTTACTCCAATCATAATAGGGATAGGGCAGATTGTATTTTTTTTTTTACTCAGGCAGGATGCTTTGTGTTTTTACACTTAAGAGGAAAAAGTAGTTTCGTATTTATTGTACTGTTTCTGTAAAAAATAAATATACCTTGCTCCTTTGAACTATAACATCATGAGTAAATATAGAAGAAAGGAGTCTTCTAGTGAGGACACTGACAGTGAAGAGGAGAGACGTAAAAAAGATATCAAGGAAAGAGATGAATTTGCTACTAGACTTAAAGCAAAAGATGAAAGCAGAGTACGAAAGGTTGCTATGCCAGCTGGTTCAGGAGCAGGTATAAGGATCTTCTCTCATCGATAAAGACAAGTATATTACATTTAAGGATTTTAACTGCATATGTTTCTACAGCTGAAGCAGCCAAGCGACTTAAAATTATGGAAACAGATATGCGTGAGAAATTGGTACCAAAGCTGAGAGTAGAATCACGCAGAAAATATTTGGAGAAACGCAAGGATGATAAAGTAGCTGAATTGGAAGCTGATATTATCGATGATGAATACCTATTTGAAGAGGAAATGTAATTTTTCTTTGATACAATTTAAGATAGATTGTTATAATGATAATCAATGCTTATTTAATACAACATCAATGTAATCAGTTTGACAGATCAAGAAAAGAGAGAAAGGTTACACAAGAAGCAGTTACTTCAATTGGCAAAGGAACATGAGAAAGCCAGGGAACTTGAGAGAGTACAACGGTATCATATGCCCCTGGAAAAGGGAAAGGTTGAACCAGAACAAGATGTCCAGGAGAATGAACCACCACAATCTGAGCAAAGCAAGTGGGAATCAGATCAGATGTCCTCTGCTGTTTTTCGTTTTGGTGCCAAGGATAGAAAGGGTATGGAATTCATAAGCAGATACATTACAGATACTTCAACAACTAGCAGCCATAGCTTTAAATACTTTGAACTTTTAAAGCTCAACAGGATTACGATCTCCTTCTGGAGGACGAGGTGGAATTCGTCCAAGCTTTGCGAATGCCTGGCAGTATGAAGGACCGGAAACGCGAGGAAAGTCCGCCCCCACAAGTGAAGGCATTACAAACGATACAGGAGACCAAGAAGAGTCTTCCAATCTACCCCTTCAGAAACGACTTGATTCAAGCCATCAATGACCACCAAGTAGTTTTCTATAGTTATATCATGCAAACTAAAAAAACAAAACTGTAATTGTTATTAAAACATTGTACTTACAGGTGTTGATAATAGAGGGAGAAACGGGATCGGGTAAAACTACTCAGATCCCGCAGTATTTGTACGAAGCCGGTTTCGCGGAAGACAATAAAATCATAGGGTGTACTCAGCCGAGAAGAGTAGCTGCTATGTCCGTGGCGGCGAGAGTCGCTCACGAAATGGCTGTAAAATTGGGGAACGAAGTCGGTTACGCGATTCGTTTCGAAGATTGTACTTCCCACCGTACACGAATTAAATATATGACCGATGGGACGCTGCACAGGGAGTTTTTGAGTGAACCAGACTTGGCTTCTTACAGGTAAATTGAAATATGAAGACCCGTTTATGTATGTTACTCGAATATGTCTAGAAATGATAAAGCAATTCACAAAATATACACTTTCGTTTCAGCGTTATGATCATCGACGAAGCCCACGAACGTACTCTACACACGGATATATTATTTGGTTTGGTAAAAGATATTACAAGATTTCGTTCAGATTTGAAACTGTTGATATCGTCAGCCACCTTGGACGCGACGAAATTCAGCGAGTTCTTCGACGACGCGCCTATCTTCCGTATTCCAGGCCGACGTTTCCCTGTCGATATTTATTACACGAAAGCTCCGGAAGCCGATTACATTGACGCCTGTGTAGTTTCTATTCTTCAAATACATGCGACACAGCCCCATGGCGATATATTAGTATTCCTAACTGGTGCGTAATACGAGCAATTAATGCCACCAATGTAACAACTCCTCGTGATTTACTTAAATGTGGTTAGGTCAGGACGAAATCGAAACCTGCCAGGAAATGCTGCAAGAGAGAGTTAGACGACTGGGCTCGAAATTGGGGGAACTTCTAATTTTACCAGTGTACGCAAATCTTCCGAGCGATATGCAAGCGAAGATATTCCAGCCGACTCCTGCTGGTGCTAGGAAGGTATATATAAGAGGCACTTAAATGCCATTAATAAATTCGTTTGTCTCTCTTGGTTTTGACACACAGCTACTATTTTACAGGTTGTTCTGGCTACTAACATAGCCGAAACGTCTCTAACTATAGACAATATAGTATACGTGATAGATCCTGGCTTCGCCAAGCAAAACAACTTCAACTCTCGAACAGGCATGGAAAGCTTGATGGTGGTACCGATCAGTAAAGCGTCCGCCAATCAAAGAGCCGGCCGAGCCGGAAGAGTAGCTCCGGGAAAATGTTTCCGGTTGTATACAGCCTGGGCGTACCAACACGAGCTGGAGGACAATACTGTGCCTGAAATTCAGAGAATTAATCTAGGTATAGTGATTACCGATTAACGAATAAAAACGCGTGATGTACCGTCGTTTGGTCCTTATTGTACAAATACGCCAAAATGAATAATGCAATTTCAGGTAATGCCGTACTCACCTTGAAGGCGTTGGGTATAAATGATCTAGTTCACTTCGACTTTCTGGATCCACCGCCCCATGAAACCCTTGTTCTGGCGTTGGAGCAGCTGTATGCTTTGGGAGCATTGAATCATCGCGGGGAATTGACGAAAATGGGACGAAGGATGGCCGAGTTCCCGCTGGATCCTATGATGGCCAAAATGTTGTTGGCCAGCGAGCAATATCGTTGCTCGGAGGAAGTGGCCACCATAGCTGCCATGTTGTCGGTGAACGGTGCGATCTTTTATAGGCCCAAGGACAAAATTATACACGCAGATACGGCACGGAAGAACTTCCATGTGCCTGGTGGCGATCATCTCACCTTACTGAACGTCTACAATCAGTGGCAGCAAAGTGACTTCAGCACTCATTGGTGTTACGAAAACTTCATTCAACATAGGTCGATGAAGAGAGCCCGGGACGTCAGGGAGCAGTTAGTTGGATTGATGCAGAGGGTTGAAATGGAACTCGTCTCGGGTATCTCGGAGACTGTGAACATTCGAAAGGTAATATATTCAATGTCTTCCAAGAGTTGGTCTAACAGGGGTCAAGTACTGTCTCCTACTTTCTTGTCTATTTACAGGCTATTACCGCGGGATATTTTTACCACGTGGCCCGGTTGTCAAAAGGCGGCCATTACAAAACTGCGAAACACAATCAAACGGTGTCGATACATCCGAATAGTTCACTATTTCAAGAACTTCCACGTTGGCTGCTCTATCACGAGTTAGTGTTCACCACGAAAGAATTCATGCGGCAGGTAAAGTCTTTGCCAGAGAATCGTTTCGATGATTATCTTTTCTGTACAAGTCCCTAATTATGCTCGTGTAACTGTGTTCCAGGTGACGGAAATCGAAAGCAAATGGCTTCTGGAAGTCGCGCCGCATTATTACAAACCAAAAGAACTCGAGGATTCTACGAACAAGAAGATGCCGAAAGTCGCGGGAAGATCACGGCCCGACGGGACCAACTGAATGTATCAATTACGGAATTAATTGAAATTCTTGTAAGATTTTATCGAACTTGTATGAAATTAATTGTACAGATATCTGTGATTGTGCCGCGATCCTTTAGAAACACTATTTTTTAACGACGATTCGCCGTGTAAGATGATTGTATTTGTAAGCGTCGAACTGTATTTAGGAGATTTTTACGGTAAGATACGCCTTGTAGTAATAAACAATTGAAAAATACACTCACTTGTAATAAAGGAATTTATCGATAACATTGTCTTCTTCAACTTTCCCATATCTTTTTTCCGTATCCTGCACCTTGTCGGAACGGTAAGTCGCAGACTGGAAAAACTAAAACAAAAGAACGTAAAATATTTCCCTGTACTTCGTTGTCTCGTCTCCGAATCTTCAATATTTAATGTACCGTGGAAATAAAAGTATCAACCCCAAGGAACGACATCGGACCACCTTCCACATTAATAAATCCTTATATTCCGCCGTAAGAGACTGTCGCGAGACAGATTCATGAAAACGCAAATTTTATTATAGTCACGTCCGTAACACAGTATTAGAGTAATGATACGCTAGGCGCATACGAACGGTAGCGTAGCGTCTTCGGAAACTATTTTCGAACGGTATAGACCAGTGTTTTAGAAAATTTTATCCAGATCTCTTGTCCTGTGGTCCCATCGTAACAAACACGCAACATGACTATGATAGTTGATGAAAAATATCAAAGAGTGCTGTTCTCGAAAGGATTTCCGTAAAATACGATGGGGATAATATCTCTAGACGGTCCAAGAATGTTTTCAAATTTGTCTGAAATTGTATGAAATCGATCTGCAAAAAAAATTCTTTTTGAATCTGGACTGTGACACGTAGTTTTATAATAATTGAAATTCATTTGCTCGAATGAAAGATGACAGTTCTGCAACCGGCATTCTTTCTATTAACGATTTGCGGATGTTGGCGACCCTCTATGTGGACTATGAGATACAAAAGGGTGTTGTACACTTTGTACACGATCCTGGTGATCTCCTTTCTGCACACCTTTTGTATATCGCAATTTTTGAACGTGATACTGAACGTGGAAACGGCGGACGAGCTCAGCGATAGCGTCTACATGTTCATCGCGAATGTTCTGTCCTGTTTTAAGATAATCACGCTGTTGATGAATCATAATAATATCGAGATGTTGTGTAAAAAACTTAACAGGAAGCCTTGCAAGCCACGGAATCACGAAGAGGCGAAGATTCAGCGTAGCTTCGACAATAGAATCGGGTAAACGTACTTTATTAAAACTTCAACTGTCCGACTTCGATTTTAAGGCGGTTTTGTAAGATGATCGTATATGTATATATTCATAATGGTATACAATATATATGTGAAATATTAGGTATAGACACTCGATAATTCTAATGATATGAACAATTAAAGTTACGAACCTTCAAGATATAGTCTAAGTTATCGAAGTAGCATTAGCAGAGTAAAACAAAAATATTTCGGTGAACGGTAATCGATCCCAGGACCTGTGATTTACCAGCCAAACGACTTGTTTCATAGTACCTACTTCATAATACTACTATCTTAAAGGTACGTTACTTTAATTTTTTTATATCTTTAAAATCATGTTCCAACACCCCGTTAAAATCCAAGTCGGACAGTTGGAGCCTACCCTTGTCAGACATATTTCAAGTAACTTCTACTTTCGTTTTTGTAAAATTTCCGCTTGTGGGCATAAAGAAGATTAGTTATCCGAATTAATGAAAAGAAGCAAATAGAATACAAAGCATTCTCAGATTGTAGATTGTAGCCTCTAAGAAATCTCAGACAATTAAGTAACATTCATAGTGGACTTACAGATCTGTCACGATATATTACACAGCACTAGTGGAGACCACCGTTCTCTGCATGATTCTATCCTCCATATTCACCGACTTTCGGCACAAGAAACTTGCGTACAACGCCTGGTTGCCTTTCAATTATTCCTCGAGAAGATTGTATTACGTTGTATACGGCCATCAGATTATCGCTCTGATCGGAACGTCCCTTCTGAACGTCGCGTGCGACGTTGTAATCTGCGGTTTGTGCGTTCACTCGTGCAGCCAGGTCGAGATTTTGAAGCACCGACTGGAAGAGCTACCAATGCAAGTCAGACCACAGATCGGGGATATCGTTCATTTCCATAATTACCTCTATGGGTCAGTTTCCGTAGACATCTCAGATAGCACATGAGGTCTAACGACGCCTTTCAGACGGCTTAAAGACACCTTAGACGTAAAATGGACGTCTTCAAGGTGTCATGTGCTATCTGGGACTGGTTCCGATTGGAGAGAGGAAAAATCTTTTACGAATCAAAAACAGGGAAGCACGTTTTTTCTTTAAGCAGTATTTTCCTGAACGCAGATACGTCGACACTATACAGCAGAAGTTTCGCGTGATAATCGGTGTTCAGCTTGTGTCCAGTACACTGGTGGTGTGTTTCATTCTGTACGAATTATCGAATACACCGTTGATGACTGCTAAATACTTGCAGTTCCTTCTATACATGGCTTGTATGATGACGCAGATATTCTTTTACTGCTGGTACGGGAACGGTTTGAAGTTGAAGGTAGATATTTGTGCCAAAAGAGCGTTATTCTTTTTATATAGTTCCTATAGACAAGTAAAGATAGTGTGCTCGTCCAACGTGGAGAGCTGTCCTCAACATTAGAGAGAGAGTGCAATAGTGATCGGATCTTTTTCTATTTCTAATCATTAAAATGGTGAGGACAGTATTGGTGGTTTTTTAGATGTGTTAGAGAGAAAGAGATCTGACCACTATTGCGCTTCCTCTGTAATGTTGAGGACAGCTCTTCACGTTGGACGCGCAGTCTATCTCTATTTATAAGTTTATGATAGTTCCGTGGATATAATCAATGTAGCACTCACCATTTTCTACATTTTTTTCTTTTTTTTCATTCGTGATAATAGAGCGTACAAGTGGTGGACACGATATCCGAGATGGATTGGACGCGTCTCGATAATAGCACGAAGAAAAGCCTGATCATGATCATGAGAAGAGCCATGAATCCGATCGAGTTGAGCAGCACGTACGTGTTCACGATGGACCTGAACACTTTCGTGAGCGTCAGTGAACAATTCAAAGTAGAGAGATTTCTCGTTGAAATTAAATAATAAATTAATAATACTCAATTGGTTCTAGATCCTGAAGATGTCTTATTCGACGTACAACTTGCTACAAAGAAAGAAACAAATGTAGCGACGAGCAAGATCGATCGGTTGAAAATAATTTCAGTATAATTAGATTGGATAGATCGCAATGTATTCAGTATGCACGATAATAAATTCTTAGGGAATAGTTCTTAGATATTGTTTACAAGTGATTCATTTTACCGAAGGCTGTACTATCAACGATTTACAAAAATTCCAAGCGTTTCTTTTTTGTCATTCAACGTGTAGTAATTTTCTCTGATTACTTCTGTAACAAATAATAGAATGACTTTGATAATGACGTTATGATTTTACTTTACTACTACCATAGTTCACTTATTATAGTAACAGAATGAACATAAATCTTCTGACTATACTTACTGAGCACATCTAAACTTCACGAACTATATAAATTGTCGGCTTGATTTCTATTCTTGTAGATTACTTTTCCCAAATACGGATTTACAGAAGGATCCGTAGTCTGTATCTGCACGAGAGAATTTCGAACGATCGTAAACTACAGAAGAAAGAAACAATCGTTTATTCCGCGACAAAGTCATCGACGACACTCACGAATGTTATACCGGAAATGAACAAGGGACGATGGTGGTATCGCGTCACAGCCAACTTATGTCTCAAAAATTGATTCATATTGGTGTATCAACAGTCGAAAACATATTTTATTCCACTGTTCATACATATTCAAAGGAACATTTATCTACAACGTTCCCTTGCACCGTTAACTGTCACCGAACGATGTAAAGAAAACCGTTCTGAAATACCAAGGGGTTTGTTATGAATAAAAATATAATTCCAGAAGTCGTTGGATTGTATCGCGGGGAAATTACGGTAATAATACAGCCCGTGCATTGGAGGGGGATGTGGACGACAGGCATTCCATCGAGGGGGTTTATTGACGCTTGTTTCTACGTAAAGAATATCTATGGTCATGCTTTACATTTCGTCGAGTGGTTTTTTGGTATTTACTACTTGCAACGCTATCGAAGAAAAACCTAGCAATATTTTCTCCTCAGGGATGATTCATCGTTCTATAGTCACCCAGATTGTTTAGTTAGCATCTTGCAGACGATTCACCAAAGTTTCGACATTTTCAAGTAGCACAAGAACGGGATCTTGTTAACTTAAAACGTGAAATAGATCATCTATTATTCGCCTGAATTAAGACACCACTTCGAAGAATGCGTATTCTGAAGTTCACGTTTAGTGTTCTTACTGTGTGCGGTTGTTGGCGGCCAGAATCTTGGACCTCGCAATGCAAGAGGCTACTGTACACCGTGTACACTCTGATCGTATTGTTTCTGGTTTACTCGATCACGTTCTATCAGTTTATGGACATACTGGTTAACGTGGAAACGCAGAACGAGTTCGCCGACAATTTGTACATGTTTCTGGCTATGATGGTCTCCTGCCAGAAGATCTATGGTTTACTCGCGAGTCGCGGGAATATCGCTGGTCTGATGAACAGCTTCGACGAGAAACCGTTTTTGCCGGAGAACTTCGAGGAACTTGGAGTTCGAACGAAATACGACAAGAAAGCCCAGTAAGTTGCTCTTTAAATGTAAGTTTCGCCTTTTACGCTTAACCCTTGTGTAGGCAACCAGATACTCAGGTATTAAGGTACCTATTTCTAAATTTCCTTCCACATTTTTTTATGTTCTTGTTTAAAACAGTACTTGGTATATAATATTGCAAGGGAAAACTAACAGTTTTGGAAAAGTAAAATTATCTATGTTTATCTAATCTGTCAGAATAGAAGTATGTATTCCGATTCAATAGAAGTATTCCAATGCTCAATAACCGTGAATATTTTGATTGCCTACACAAGGATTAAGATGCAGAGAAGTGGAGTAATTTGTAAGTATACTGTATGATTCTGGGGAAAATAGGTCAACTTTTAGAATGTTGAAACTCTATCAATGATCTTACCACAGTTTAGAAGATTTCAAGCATACAGTAAATCATCGATCAATGCTCGATGGCTACCACAGAATTTCATCCATTTAAATTCTCTCTTTTTTCTGAAAAATCTGAAGTAAAATCGATCACAATTTCTCAAGTTTTCAACAACTCTACTGCAAAACTTTTGCACATAGGCTCGAATAATGAAACGATTTTCATCGATGCTAATCACTATGGTTTGAATTATCAATTCTTGATAAAAAAAACAAACATTAATTCTCATACTAATAATATACCATATCATAATACAGTAAATTCTCGATCAGTGTTCTAGCGCACCTCGGCACTGAATATTAAATATTTCATAAACTAATAACCATATGCGACTGAAACGAATATCATTGGCTTCGAACATTCATCGAGGATTTACTGTACTACCTCAAAGGCAACAGAAGCGATAGTCTTACGTGTTATATTACAATTTGAACTTCCAAAACATCTGTGGGAGCCATTGAATTTTCATCGATGATTCACTGTATTTTAAACATCGAAAAAATATGGTTTTGCAGTGTCAACGCGTTCCTCTACATGATCCTGCTGCTAGGAACGGTCTCTTGTATGTCAATGACAGTCTTCTTGACATCCGAAAAATGGCAGCTAGTGTTCCGGTTGTGGCTACCGTACAACTACACCACGATCCATTTGTACACTTTAACATACGTCCAGCAGAGTTTGGCGTTGTATCTTGGCGCGCTGTTGCATGTCGCCTGCGACAGTCTGATCTGCGGAATGTTAATCCACATAAACAGCCAGTGTGAGATTCTCGGTTGCCGTCTGAAAGCGCTAAAAAACGGCGAGTACGAGGCCGTGAAATCGTGCGTACGTTACCACAATCGAATGTACCGGTTGGTTCTGCACGGTGAACACTTTCTATGCATAGAATTATCGATCGTTTAATTATTAACGTAAACAACATTTTTTTGAATCATCGTTCGGATCAGGAATCGCTTGAATAAAAAAAAAACATAGGGTAAACCAACCAGTGAATGACTGAATTGTTAAATTTATGGATTTTCGAGATTAATACTTGACTGTATTTCGTTGTAACAACAAAACAGCTGTTGAAATTGCAATTAAATTTATTTTTCTTGAAATTTTTACAAAAATATTTTTATCGTAATTTTGAGAAAATTATTTATTAAGTGCAAAACGTGCAAAAGCCCAGTAAATGATTGCTAGATTTCTGAAATAATTTTAATAAGAATTGTACTTATTAATGTCTGCTTAATACGCTGAACTGAAAATGTGGAATATTAAAAGTGCAACTACACTCCATTCACAAACATTTTATAATGTTAAATTTATAATTTACATTTCGTTGCCTAATGGTCATTCACTGGTATGCAGTCAAGTACTGGTCGGTTTACCCCATCACAAGAATCACAAAAAAATATAATTGCAGATTCGCCCGAGCGTTGAACGATGAGTTCAAAATGATTATTTTCGTGCAATTCGCGGTGAGCCTTTTGGTGGTGTGCTTCAATCTCTACAGACTAACGCAAACCACGAATCCAGACGCGAAACTTTTGGAGATTCTACTGTACAGCTCTTGCATACTGACGCAGATATTCATTTACTGTTGGTATGGGAACGAGGTGAAGATGAAGGTTCGTAGCCACTGTCAGAAACGTTCGTGTACTGTGATCTATTCTGATATATTCTTCGATCTACCTACCAGAGTCTCGAAATTTCTGACACAGTGTACGATGTGAACTGGGCGATGCTCGACAATAACGAGAAGAGAATTCTCCTGATGATTATGAGACGGGCGACGGTGCCCATCGAGTTCACCAGTGTCCATATCGCGTCTTTGAAACTGGAATCCTTCGTGAGCGTCAGTATAAAAAAAATATGTAACTTTAATAACCTAATCGATTCTTCAGACCTTAATCACAAAATTGTCCTCCGTGAGAAACGTTATCGAATATTCTTGTGTTTTTTTTTTAGATACTCAAAGCATCTTATTCTGCATTTAATGTGCTCCAACGAGGTCAGAGATAAAAACTAACCTGGACAATGTTCGTCGTAGAAAAACAGCAGCTTCACTCTCGATTCGTCTAAAGGATCGTTGTACGAGTATGTCGAGAGATAAAGCGAGACTAGAAGTCGAAGTTTGTTAAAGATAAGTCGAGAAATCTATTACACCGTGTAATATACGTGACAGTCCACTTTACATTTAGAAAATTCTTAGATCGATGATACCGAACGTAACAAACACTTATCTCATACACGATCTTTCCCTTCATTTTTCGTCTTTCTGGTAAAATCATCGACAACGAGAATAAGCAACGGATAGAAGTACAGTGGTGTATAGATGATGATGTGCAAAGCTTGAGAATAAATATTTCTCGATCAACCGAGACCTCGATTCTTCCTCTCGTGTGTCTTTCGAATATGCTAACGAAACTGCAACCAGCGATTACGAAGAAAACCGAGGAAAATATATGCATCCACCCTTAAATATTTACGGTCCGTTTTGCATTTGGTTGCTCGTCCGACATTTATATTTCAGCGTATCTTTTTTTCTCCTCCCTATTGGGTTGCACAACGGGGGGACTCTGTACAGAGGAGACAAGAATAAAATGACGAATAACAAGAGCAGACGTTTAAACATAGTTGCGTATTTCGCGTTCACGATAATTACGGTAATGATACAGCTGGTCGGAAGGGGATGCTTCCGGAAGAAAGTCGTACGAGGTATACACGTCGATATTCTTATGGTCAACAGTACTACCTAAAACTCTGTCGAGCTATAGGGTCTCTAAAACGTCCTTAACTCCACTCGAAACGGATTATTTTTTTTTTATTGTTCGAGGGATGAATTAAAACGAAAATTTGACACCAGAATTCACGATCTGGTGAATGCATGAAAATCGAATTATAATGCGCACACTACGATACGTCTGCACCCTTCTCTCCGTGTGTGGCTGTCTGAGGCCATCTTCTTGGACCTCTCCGTCGAAAAGGATCTTATACCGTGTCTATACCGCCGTTGTCTGGCTACTGATACACACATTGGCGATCTCTCAAGTTCTGGACCTGATCGTTAACGTGGAAAACCAGGACGAT